TCCTCTTCTTTCCTTTCTGGCACGGGCTCCGAGCCCTCAGCCGGGTCTCCTTGGCACAGGAGTCTGGCTGCTCCTGGATGGGTGGGCCCCTGCTGAAGCTCCCACTGCGCTCGGCAGGAGTGATTTTGATGGTCCGCATGTTCCAGATGTTTCGGAGGTTCTGGGCTTTCCAAAGCCACTGCTTCACGAAACTCTCGCGGTTGCTAGAGAAATCCAACCCCAGGAAGGTGTGGAGGGGTGACCTGCCGTGACAGCGCCTCCAGGCCTTGGGGACTATCGCCCTCTGGACTCTGGGCTGGTCCAGGTGGGGCGGCAGGGTGGGGCGGGGCGGGCGATCCGGCGCCCCCGGTGCATGGAGATGACTTGGCTCTGAATCGGGCCCAGGGGCCGGTGGGCCGGCCTGGGCCGCAGGGACCGGCACCTCCAAGCGGGGCGTGGCAGCGCGGCCTCGGCTGTGCCCAGGTATCTGCCCACGTATCTGCTCAGGTAGCTGCCCATGTTCGCGGTGCGGCGGGGTCGGGGCCTCCGACGAGGAAACGCGGCTTCCACAAGTGCCCCGAGAGTCTGCGGACGCGGAACTCGCAGGGCTAGAGCGACCGTTGGTATCAGGGCGCGAGGGCGGCACGTGGGGTCTCGCGTGGGGAACCTCTGGACACGGGTCCGGCACGAGCCAGGCCAGGGCCCCGCGGACGTGGCGACTGCCCCGGGCGCCTGCCGCTACTGAGGACAGGGGAACCTCCAGCTCCCACTGCAGGTCCCAGGCGCTTGGCTTCTAGGCAGAGGGGCCTCGAGGGCTTCGGCTTTTGTACCTGACACTGAAAGGGAGAAAATGTAGGCATTTCGATCAGGTCCTGGAAATTACAGAAAACCGATGGAATGACACTCTCCTTCATTACTGTATAAATGAACATAACGCGCTTGGATGCTCTTTCAAAGGAAGAGGAATCTACGTTTATTAGTAAAGGGGATGTGTGCTTCCATCTTCCAGAATGGTTGCTAATGTCCCTTTTTGCAATTGTGCTCTTAAGAAAATGGTGAATGCCATTCATGATTTATGTTTTAGCCCTGACAACGTTGAGTTATGTGGACTCTCCTATAATTTTCAGTCTCCTTCCATTCCTAGAATGTGTTTTCTGTGAACACAAATGCTATTTCTGTTTTTCGTTTCTGCTGGTAATGTCGGAGTAGACTGAGTCATGTTTTGCATTAACAGTTGATAACATCTGACTTCCAAAACACTATTTAAAGGCTGCTGGGTAACTGATTATAGTGTTTAGGTTTAAGGTCTGTTTAATTTCTTTGAATCAATCTCTTGGTGAAAATTTTCCTCAAAAGCCCATGCAGAAATGCACCTATTGGGCTGTCCCCAGTGATGGGATGAGAGAGAGAAAGTAGAAGCCAATGATGATACTAGAGCAGGCAACAGATTCCATCCAGATCTGAGAGGTGGACAGCCCAATGGTGATGATACTCAATATAACTTAATGAAGAAGCACCAGAAGGTTTTTTTTTTTTATTAGTTTCAGAGGTAGAGTTTAGTGATTCATCAGTTGCACATAACACCCAGTGTTCATTACAACTTATGCCCATCACCCAGTTAGCCCATCCCCCCACCAACCTCCCGTCCAGCAACCTTGTTTGTTTCCTATAAGTTAAAAGTCTCTCATTATTTGTCTCCCTCTCTGATGTCATCTTATTTTATTTTTCCTTCCCTTCCCCTATGATCCTGTTTTGTTCCTTAAATTCCACATTTGTGAAATCGTAATTGTCTTTCTCTGATTGACTTATTTTTCTTAGCATAATATCCTCTAGTTCCATCCACATCCTTGCCAAGTGGTAAGATTTCATTCTTTTTGATGGCTGAGTAATATTCCATTTTATACACACACACACACACACACACACCACGTCTTCCTTATCCATTCATCTGTTGGACACCCAGGTTCTTTCCATATTTTGGCTATTGTGGACATTGCTCCTATAAACATTGGGGTGCAGGTGCCTCTTCAGATCACTATGAGCACCAGAAGTTTTCTGAAGTCGGAGAGATACCCAATGTTTCAGGATGAGGGGGTGTGGTTAACCGGTGGGTGCAGGGCAACGAGACCCCTGACATTCTCCACTCACAACTAATTTTTTTTTTTTGGCCAATTCATTAAGGAATGATCTCCAGGTAGATGATTTTTAAAAGAGAAGTTCCTATGATAGAAATTTCTTCTTAAGACATTTTTCATGGTAGAAAAAACTCTTCATACATACCTAACATCTCTCTTCAGGTGATCATAGCATGAGATTGGACAGTCTCATGCCACTGTGTACTGATTTCCATAATGTATTTTTCTTTCAAATGTCTACAGAATTTCCCACATCTGCAGCATAACTGAGTGGGTGTTATTCTGGTTTGTAGGTAAAGAATCCTCCAGAACAGTCTTCTGCTGGTGACCTATAGGCAGTAATAAGTAGATCACCCCTATGCTTTTACTGGTAAACCAACGTGTTGATTAATTAAAAGCGATTTCCCATTGACGATGTTTCTTTTCACACATTAGGTGGTAAAGGATTTCACGTTTTAGCTGATATTAGAGATTAGCACACATTAGTTGGTGCTTGAGCAGGGGTGAGCTTGCACCAGGCATCAGAGATTGTATGGATACAGTTTTGGTTGTCAGTCACTGGGGGGCTACTGACAACCAGTGGGTAGAGGCCAGGGATGCTGCTAAACATCCTACAATACACAGGACAGCCCCCACAATGTAACTATTGATTTATTTATTGGGACCAGAGAAAATTTATGGAGAATAAACAACTCATGGAAAATTACAACTTAAAAATTGACATCAAAGGTGTCTTTAGGATACCTTTCTATTCAATACCATGGTATGAATTTTATTTCAAATAGTGTTTTGTGTCCCTTAGGAATATCTGACAGTTTCCTTTTTAACATTTTAAGTTCATTCCAAGGTATTTTAGTTTATTAGTTTCCATTGTAGGGTTCTTTCTTCCATTCTATCTTGTGATTTACATATGTCAAAGGAATTGATGTCTATAAATTAGTATGGTACTGCACTAATGTTTCTCTCATTTCCTTTATCTTTTTTTGTCTAACTTTATTGACTGCTACCAGAATTTAGTCAATTTAAAATTTAATATGCTAATTATAGTGCAGTTAGTAGATATCCTTTCCATACTAGTCATACTCTTTACTGCTGAGCCGAGATTGGTCAGTCTACTTTATCAACTCAGGGAATTCTCATTTCATTTATTCTATTAAAAAATTTTACAAAAATGGGGTGCCTGGGTGGCTCAGTCAGTTAAGCATCTGCCTTCGGCTCAGGTCATGATCCCAGGGGTCCTGGGATCGAGCCCCATGTTGGGCTCTCCGCTCAGCGGGGAACCTGCTTCTCCCTCTCCCTCTGTCTGCCGCTCCCCCTGCTGTGCTCTCTCTCTGTCAAATAAATAAATAAAATCTTTAAAAAATACATTATGAATTTTGTCAAATATATTTTAGGAATTTATGAAAATGAAAACATTAGTTTTCCCTTTAGCTTTGCTGATGGGATGAAGCCTATTAATTGTAACTATATCATTCCTAATATTGAACGATTCTTACATTACTAGCAAAAATTTTACATGGACAAATCCTACTAGAAAAAATCCTATGTGATGTATTGGTAGATTCTAGTATTCTATTTAGCTTTCCTTTTTTTAAAAAAATATTTATTTATTTATTTGACAGAGTTAGCGAGAGCAGAAACACAAGAAGGGGGAGTGGGAGAGGGAGAAGCAGGCTTCCCGCAGAACAGGGAGCCCAATGCGGGGCTCGATCCCAGGACCCTGAGATCATGACTTAAGCCGAAGGCAGACGCTTAACTGACTGAGCCACCCACGCGCCCCAGCTTTCCTTTTTTCTAAATATTCTTGAAGATATTACTTTTGGAGCTTAGTGTTTACTTTTTAGGGGGTGAAATATTTTCTAAATATTCTTGAGAGATACTACTTTTGGGACTTAGTGTTTACTTTGGGGGTGTTCAATCTTTGGTGGGTTTTGCTTTCACTGTTATCTTGGCTTCATAAAAAAGAACTTAGAAGCTTTTGTTCTTGTAAAAATCTTTAGTCAATAAAATTCCAAAACAAACAAGTAAAAGCAATTATTACAGTTTAGTTCATTTATGAACAACATTTTGTGTGTTGACATAGTAACCACCACTTAAACTTTCGTTTCTAATTGAAAAACAAATACCAAGTCAAAACTTCTGACTTAGAATAAAATTTCTCTATAGACATTGTTAGGCTCTGTCTTTACCTTGAAATTCCACAGTAAGTTTCTCTTAAGAAAATTAAGGATTTTTGCATAAATACAGAGAACTCTGTATGATAGTTGCCAAAGGGGAGGGGAATGGGGGGGGATGAGAAAAATGGGTGAAGGAGAGTGGGAGGTACAGGCTTCCAGTACTGAAATTAGTAAGTCACGGGGATGAAAGGTAAAAAGCACAGGGAAAAACAGTCAATGGGATTGTAACAGACTTGTATGGTAACAGATGGGAGCTACACTTGGGGTGAGCACAGCATAACATATGCGGTTGTCAAATCACCATGTTGCACACCTGAAACTAATGTAACATTGTGTGTCAACTGTACTTCAATAATAAATAAATATCAAACCAGTTTGAACACATCCACTTCCAGCCTTCATTTTTTTCCATTTAAAGATCCTAATTTTTATAACGGTTCTACACAATGCATATAATAACATATAAAATACATGTTACTGTCAAAAATGAAAGCTAAAAGCTTATGTTCTTCTATGTTTTAACTCCTGTCTCTGGTTAACTTGACATATCTCCAAATTCATGTCCAAACTGAGATAAGATGTTAGCACATCTTAATAAAAATGTGTAAGCATTATGAGATACTAAAAACTGATGCCAAAGTTGGAGCCTAGCCTTGTTTTAAATGGGCAGGCTAGCATTTCCTCAGACAGAAATGTGGAAAGAACATACCTGATCATGATCAATCTCTATGGGCTGCTTCTTAATGATCCAGGCAACGGACTTGGAGTGGCGGGGTAGTCAGGGACTCTGAGTAGGTCCAGTAATCTGGGCAGGCAGGCATCAGGCAGGAAGGATCAAATGACCCAAATTCCACAAGGATGTCCTGGCCAAGAGAAGAGGTTACCCAAACTATCATTCGGTGCTGAAAACCACTCAGGAATTAGATGACAAGGCATTGATTCTTGGGGACGCTGGGGACTAGCATTGGTCTAGAGGAATTGCAGGTAACTCCGGTGCCTTAGGACAGAGTCAAGCCCATGCTTTGTTCCTATATATAATAAACTGTGCAAGGTTCTCTTTTTTAAAATTGAGACATAACTGATTTTTTTTTTTAAACTGAGATATAATTGACAACAGTGTAGTTCTGATAGTCCTCCACGGGAACACGGCACAAACCACTTCCTCCCTCCATTCTATGTTTACTGCAGGTGGTCTCCTCTGAACTCTTTGGGAGGCATCAGGCAGTAGCTGGTACATGAACAAGGAGATTTCTTTTTTTCAAGAGAAACCAACAGAATTCTCCTTTCTAAAACACAATGCAAATTTGGGGGAGCCAGGCTCCTGGACTAAAAGGGGAGACAGAAGAGAGGGAAGGGAAAAGAGGGAGATAAGACAGGGAGAGAGAGGGAAAGAGGTGGTGGGGAGAGAGACCGAGGTGGGGAGGAGAGGGAGAGAGGGAGAGGGAGAGAGAGGGGGAGAGAGAGAGAGAGAAGATGCGGACCTCCAGGGAAAAGCCCCTTCAGGATTCTGAATCATGGACAGTTAGTCCTGGGGCCTGGACAAAGGTATCCATTCTGAAGGATACGGGTCATTGTTCTTTACAGGCCAAGCCACATTTCTGTCAAACGCTTCTCTGCTCCCTGCCCGTGGGACGGGAGGTTGAGTCAACAGAGCTGCTCTGGGTGTTTCCACAGGGACTCAGAAGGAGCAGAGGAGGGGACAGCACTGGGTTCCTGGGTTCCCGAGTCCCCGAGTGCTAGGGCAGGGCAGCAAAACCAAAGCGGTCAGCGCGCACCCACAGAACCACTTCTGTCCCCTGCAAGGTGTCCCAGGGCCGGGGGCTCTCAAAACACGCATATGAAGTGGCAAGTGCTCTTCCACAACTCGCAACATGCCTTGTGAGTGTCTCCACTCTGAGATTAAACATAACATGTATTTCAAGTGACTTAGGGAAAAAAATTACCTTATGCTTAATTGACAGCACAGTGTCCACCAATTTCTGTAGCTCTTCATGATGTGTAGCTAAAGAACAATAAATGAGAAAATAATTTTTAAAATGAGATCTTATTCTAGTATTGTTACAGAACGTGAATTCCTATCAGACTATTGGTGATTACCTAAAAACAATCTACAGTACTGAAACTGCACTTAAACTGAGAATTCAGGATGTTATAAACATCACTGAATGAAAGCAGATACAAAACAAACGGGCAGGTGGTTTGCGGACAGGCTGAAGCCCATTGTGTGTAGGGAAAGGTGCCCCTGCTCTGTTAGCCTCACGTCTCCCCCACCCCCATCCCAGCCTCCCTGCTACTTGGCCTCCAGGGACACTGGTGGCTAAAACTCTCCCAGCCACCCGGAGCGGGTAAGGCCCAGCTCTCGGCACACACCCACGTCCTCAAGGGCTCATTCCTGGAGCCTCAGTGTAATAACCACGTGTTCCAGTTTCTGTGTTTGATGCTTTGACATCTGAGGCTTCCCAACACTAAGGGGGTTGCCCCTCCCAGGGTGAGCTAATTCCAAGAGAGGACAAACAACTGGGAGAGTGCCCTTCATAAGGAAATCAACCAATCCAGAGCCCAAGCAGCTCCTTTATCGGGCTCTGACATGCCGGGTCACTGTCCCTGGGCCCTACCCGCCCCAGGACCAGGTAGCAGACAACTAGGGACAGCCTCTGTACCACAGAACCTACTGAGATCATTCAAAGTAGCCAATCTTCACTCCGCTTATACTACTTCATGCGCTCCTTCCCCCAGGAACCACAACAGGCTCTCATCCACCATTTCTCCTCCTTCCCTCTGCCTCCTGGCCATCCCTGGCGCTTCCCCATGTGGCCCTGCCTTCCGGCTTTAGGGACTGTAGGATGAAATTCTTCTTTCACGACAGTCATTCCCACGTCTGTGTGTCTTGCCATACCTGATGAAAACAAATCTGGGGCACCCTGACAACACTCCACCTCCAGAGCTTGCAGGAGGCCTGCACCTGCTGAGCCTCCAAGAGCTCAGAGGCCCTGCACAGAGTGTGGTCCGCAGATTTTCGATCCAGTTCTCCAGCTGTCAGCTGTGTGACCTGGCAGGAAAGCAGTGAACTTCATGGAGCTTCACTTCATCTGAAAAATGGAGATGATAGTCTCATCATCAAAAACCTCTGGTGAAGACAAATGAAGCACTTAGCAAATACATAGTTACATAGCACTCATAAATATTAGTTCCTTTCCAGATCACTTCCCATAGCTGTTCGCCTTTATCTTTTTATGCCATTTAGAATATATTAACTGATCTCACATTTTAACCATTATTTGCCCTTATCCTTTTATAATAGTGCCAACAAATGGAAGTGTAATGCAAACCACAAAGGAAATTTTCAAGTTTCTAGGAGCCACATTTAAAAAGTTTTAAAAAAGGTGAAATTACTTTTGAGAACATATTTTATTTTGCCAAATACATTGAAAAGATTGTCATTTCAACATGTAATCAACATGAAAAATTATTGAGTTTCCATTTTTTCCACAGTGAGTCTTAAAAATCTGTTGTGTATTTTACTCACACAACACATATCAAATTAAATGTTAAATTTTCATCAAAAATATTTGATTCATATTTTACTTGAAAATATAGATACACATACTCAAGTTGTTCTAAACATTCCTAAAAGTTTTCCAACAACTGAACTGAGTATTAGTTCTTAAATTCAAATTCAAATTAATTATAATAAAATTAAAAATCCATTTCCTCAATTATACTAGCCACATTTCAAGTGCTTAAAAGCCACACATGCCTTATGGATACCATATTGGACAGCACCATTTTATATCATTTGGGATGTACTTGTAACAATCTTGTATTTTAAGCATTGCTTATATCTTACCAATGCATTGATCCCAATATTCTTAAATAACAACATTGTAATGTTCCATCTTTCCATTCTAGTATACGTTTAAAGTTGGTAAGATTTTTTTTACCTTTAAAAATATTCCTATCATAGGGGCACCTGGGTGGCTCAGTGGGTTAAGTGTCCTGACTCTTGATTTTGGCTCAGGTCATGATCTCAGGGTCGTGAGACTGAGCCCTGCGTTGGGCTCCACACTCAGAGTCTGCTCCTCCCCCGCTCATGCTCTCTCAAAAAAAAAAAAAAAAAATTCCTATCATAGCTAAACCATCTTCCTCCAGTTGTTGCATCCTCAAAGCTTTGAAATTTGATTGTATTATGATGCACCAAGTGCAGCTGAAACCCTATAAAAAGGGTTGATGCCTGACCCTATAGGACTGCTCCAAAAGAAATTGACTGCGTTATTCAACCTACAATATTTAAACATGTTTCCTCGTGCAAAATAAAGCCACTGGGAAAAGCATATGACAAGCTGATGCAAAATGAGACAGAAATAAAGAAAAGGAAGAAATTTATGCAGAAGGAGCAATTAATATTACTTTGAAATAAAGGGATTTATTTGATGAGAAAAAGTATTTATATAGTAAAGAGGATAACATTTCAGTGAGGGATCAACATTTGTTCAATTCCATCTTAATTTGCAGGAAATATGAAAATCCAAAATCCATTGGCATCAAAAGCAGTAAAGATGCTTATCCTGAGAGAAGCAGATTCTCCCTACGGAAATTAAACAGGAGGTGAAGACACAATTCTTTGATGGATAACCACTCGAAGTGTGTTTCTTTCAATTTTTAACGTAATATTTAAAATTAAATTAGGGGAGGGGCACTTGGGTGGCTCAGTCAGTTAAGCGGCTGCCTTCGGCTCAGGTCATGATCCCAGGGTCCTGGGATCGAGCCCATCGGGCTCCCTGCTCGGCGGGAAGCCTGCTTCTCCCTCTCCCACTCCCCCTGCTTGTGTTCCCTCTCTCACTGTGTCTCTGTCAAATAAATAAATAAAATATTTTAAAAAAAATTAAATTAGGGGAAAAGTTGTAAAAAATTTTTTTATTTATTTCCTTATGTGCTCCCTATACTTCCCTACAAATTATTCCCCATCCATCATTCATAACCTTTCTGGCATCACCATCCCCCCAGCCTCCCAAGTGAGACGACTCAAGGATGTGGTTAATTTTGCTTTCTCCTCACTTGAAGAGGAGTCCATTTCCAAGTCCTATTGCTTTTTGTAGAGAGCAAGATGGAGGCACTCATGTAAAGCAGGGGCCTGTGTCAAGTGGTGATACAGGCAGTTAAGCATACCACAGCTACCAGATATCGCCGAGACCAGCATCAACTGATGACACCCCAGAACTTATAACAAGCAGAAGCAGAGAAGTCTGCAGGGGCCCAGGAGTGATTCGATCCCTTTAAAAAGAGAGGGCTTTTGCAGCAAACAGTCAGACTCCTCAGACATGACCCCTCTATGTCTAACCACTTAAAAAAGGCACCTGTTGCCGAAAGCTGTGCCCGATGAATCTCTGAACAGAACTGAGATCCTCCACTGCTTGAATATCAGAAAAAGTGAGTGCCGAGAGCCGACCTGGCCTGGACTGACACCTTATCTCAACTACGCGCCCATAGACTGACTACGTGTTTGGTTCCTTCACTTTCTGCCCCCTGTGTTATCTTCTTTGTTGTATGGCTTATCTTCTGTCCTGCTCTGTGTGCCATGTAAGAAGCCAAGTTAACCATGTGGTGAAATGTCACTGAGTTTGGAATCCTGAACCTGCTCTATAATTATGTTAACTTTGCTTTAGGACTGAATAAGGCTGAAAGACAACTCGTGTGTGTGCCTTCACAGTGTGCTCATGACGCTTTTATTTTAGAAATGTTTTTTAAAAATGTGCTTTCTCCCTACTTCAATTGCTACAGCCTTCATTTAAGCTCCTACCATCTCACACTTGGATTAATCTGACCTTGTGGACCTGCACTACTGATTGGGTTAATCTCAAAAAATAAAGCAAATGACTTATTAATTAAATGAAATCATGCTCTACCACATGTGGTATAAAAATAACCAGTACTGATGAACCTGTCTTCTATCTCCCCTCCGAAGCGGCAATGATCATCATTCTTCCTGTCTCTCCCCAAAATGCAAATTCTGCATTCTGGTCACTGTTTTTGGCCATTTTCTGAACATCTGCTTTTGCACATGATTTTCCCTCAGTCTCCAATGCCCTTCTAATCCTTTTGACAAACTCCGATTCATCCTTCAATACCCAAGATAAATGTCCCCAAATAAAGGAAATTTTCAACTTTTAATATTTGTGGGTCCTGCTCCTGGGCTCCCAGGGAAGCTCTGCTTTAACATTTACCAAGGTCAAAATGACTCAGCAACACCCCAGAGCATACACTCTATTTCTGCCCTGAGCATACACTGTGTATCTGCTTTGTTGAAAATAACCAAAAACGTGCATTCTGAACACAAGAGATAAGAGAAAGTAAGAAACTTCCCTGGTTCCCAAGAGGTTAAAGTCATAGAGCCCTGCATATACTGGAAACTTAAAATAAGGGCCGCAACTTCCTGAAAAGTTCTTTGTCTAATAATTTGTAACTTTTTAAAAATGTTGTAACCCCTTATGTATATAAAATGTATGTAACCCTACCTCAAATGATCCTTTAGGGGAAGCACTCTCTTCTTCGTGAACATTGTGTATCCTGGGCAGCTGTCCTCACTTGGACTCGAATAAAACTCTCTTCCTTCCCGCCCCCCCAGACATTCTAAAAGGTTTGTTCATTTTGCATCAACACCCGTCCTTGGTGAAGTCACCACAGACTTCTCTGAGTAGTCTACATCATCCCCTCCTCTGTGGTCCCACAGCACTTTTAGAAACCCTTTCTCAAATCACACTGGTTTTATAATTCTAATTTCCTGCATGCTTCTCTCACTACACTTTGACTGCTGGGAGGTCAAGAATCTAGTTAGTATTCCTGGCACTTGGTGCAATGGCTGGCACATGGCTAGCACTCAGTAAATACAGAACAAATAAATAAATCAATGGTTGACAAAATACAAAATGTGACTAAAAATACAAAGTGTCTTTTTCTTGCTGACTATCCTTTTGCACTGTACTGCAATCTGATCATTTAAAATCTGGCTGAAGAGTGTTACTATTTAATATAGAAGCTATTTGTAACATCAGCAAGCAGAGGAAGATTAGCACACATTCCACACACCAGAAAACAAATTTCAAATAAAAGTAATTCAAATGATCTATATATACAGTTTCAAATAAAAATAAATTCAAATATATAATTTTAAATAAAATTTCAAATACACAATCTCTCTCTCTCTCTCTCTCTCTATATATATAAATAGAAAACACCACTCATACCAGAAGGAAACACGCACAAAAATGAAAAGGGACATGGTTCACACACTCAAAAAACTCTAATGATGATGCAGCAATTCCACTTTGGGGTATATACCAATGGAAAACAACACCTCAGAAGATATTTGGACACCCATGTTCAGAGCAGCATTATTCACAACAGCCAAAAGGTGGTTGCAACTCAAGTATCCACAGACAGGTGAATAAACAAAATGTGGTCTATCCATACAACAGCGTATTCTTCAGTCTTAGAAGGAAATTCTGACATCTGCTACAATATGGATGAACTCTGACATTATGCTCAGTGAAATCAGCCAGTCATAAAAAGACAAATACTGCATAATTCTACATATATGAAGTACCCAGTTGTCAAATTCACAGAGAGAGGTAAAATGGTCACAGCCAGGAGCTGAGGGAAGGGGAAAATGGGGAGTTATTGTTTAAGTGGTACAGTTTTGCAAAATGGAGAGTAATGGACACGAATGGTTGCACAACAGTGTGACTGGACTTACTACTGAACTGTACACTTAAAGATGGTTAAGATGACAAATTCCATGTTACACGTATCTTACCACATTAAAAAAAGAAAAGCTCAGTGCAGTGAGTCCCATGCCACTGGCCAAGGCGGTCTGCGTGCCCATGGATGCGGTGTGGTGTGGCCTGGGCTGACACGAGGCTGTCCCTCAACTCCAGACAAGACCACCAGTCGGGCTCTCACCTGATTTATCTGTAGAATCTTCAAATTCCACGAGGAAAGAGTACCCGTTATTCCAGACATGGAGGCAGGTGGTGGGGTCGTAAGAGATGGTGAGCGGTTTTAAGCCAGGATCATAGACGCTGTCCCTCCACCGGATGTTGATGGGCGACTGGCGCTCGCCCCCCGGGACCAGGTCCACGGTCTCCCAGAGCGGGTGCGCTAGGAGAAAGCACAGCGGGGCCATCGTCAAGACGCCGCTATCCGGGATCACACAGCAGGCAACTCCGGTGCTGGGGTGTGTCGAGGTGACGGAATCTAACTCTCAGGAAGTAGCCGCCCGGAGGCTACGACGGAAGCAGGGGGCAGAGGCGGCTCAGAGAGCAGCCTGCTGCTCTGTCGGCCACGAGCCGCTCGGTCTACCCTCTCCTCTCACCTAAACCAGGTGCCGCCCGGTCTCCGCAGGACAGGAAGACGCGGGCAGACTAGCGCCACGTGGAAGGAGGGTATTCTCAAATGGGTTTCCTTTCTTTACTGATCATCTTCTGAGCCCCACCCACCAGCCAGGTTCACATACAAGTACAAAGTAATGAAACTTTCCATCGTGGATTTCTCTTCAACAAAGGCCATGGGGGAAGAGGAGGGACAATTTTTGGAACGCAAACGTTCACGAAAGCACTGTAAATTTTTTACATTGCCGGGCTAGTAGAAATAAAGGCTTGCGTGGCATGCGTCTGTAATTTAGCTTGCAATGTGGAAGATTTCTGGATTATTTATACAATGCGATATTACAGTCTTCCAACGGAGATGAGGGCAACACTCCAGGGTTTTGGAAAAAACGAAGGAAGGTACCGATGAATCTGGCAAGGAAAAGGAGTCATTTCTTTCTTTTTTTTAAATTTATTTGACAGAGAGAGAGCGAGAGCAGGAACACAAGCAGGGGGAGTGGGAGAGGGAGAAGCAGGCGTCCCACGAAGCAGGGAGCCGATGCGGGGCTCGATCCCAGGACCCTGGGATCATGACCTGAGCCGAAGGCAGACGCTTAACGACTGAGCCACCCAGGCGCCCCCAAAGGAGTTATTTCTTCCTACTTTGAGCTATGCTAACCTTAAGAATAACACTGCCAGTCATTTCACCAGCAAAAAAACACGGGGTTTTGGTGGGGAGGGGAATAGCAGAGAATTACAATCTGGGACAAGCAAGCTATAGCAAAACCATACACAAGTCTAGAGAACAAAGAGGAATGCTCTTTTACAGAGGAAAGGAGGAAGCTGGGAAGGCTTTTAGAAACAAAAAGTCCACTGGAGCAACCTGGGAGCTGGAACTGCAGTGGCTTCTCATTGCCTGAGCTGTAACTGTTTCACTGACTGGGCTCTTGCTGGGGGAGAAGGGAAATCTTCCTTCCTCCTGCTGCCACAGTAAAGGAGTAGCTAAAAGTATCCACATGCAAAGTTTATTTCTTCCTGTTGGGTCTGCAACGGACAAGGAGCACTCCGACTCCACTATAGATTCAAGCGTTCAGGTGTATTGCACCAATCGTCCCACACAGACGCCACACATCACTGATCATGATTTTTCTACAAAGAATCAAGCACCAGGTGTTGTTCGTGGGAAGTCTCTGATAAATCACAGTGGACTTCCTGTAACACAGAGAGCTGCTGAGACATCCGTGCATGATGGATAGGACGTCATGCATAATCGGGGGTGCTCCAGTTCTCTGCCCCTTAGAAGCGCCCCAGATGGGTAGAACCAAGAGCAATAGGGAAAGTAGAAGAAACATGAATTGAGATAAATCATTACCAATGACCCTCTGAGCCTCACCCCACTACGAAGAATGAGAGTAAGGATCTGAGAAAGTGATAAGGTAGCTGCTATTCAGACAACCCACTCTGTATGGCAGGTTCACAGAGACACCTTTTTTCATTTAAAAAAAGGCCCAGAAACTTGCCTCCGGTTGACCTTTACAAAGGAGACATTAGTTTTGCTTGGGTAGCTGGTAAAATCTATAAAATCGAAATCCTAGCCGTATGGGTTTTTTTCTTGGGGGGGGGTAAAAATGAGACAGAGGGCTCTCCTGAGAGTAGACCAGTTGTTCTCAACAGAAGGAGGGATGCTGCCCCTAGAAGACACTTGGCAATGTCTAGAGACATTTTTGGTTGTCACAACTGGAAGAGAGTGCTACTGACATCTAGTGGATAGAGGCCAGACATGCAGCTAAACATCTTACAATGCACAGAATTGTATGACCCCAAATGTCAATAAGTTGAGAAACCATGGTCTCTGCAAACTCAGGTATTTTCTTTTTTTAACTATTTCTTTCTATATTATAAACAGTACCATCTTATCTCTGGAGAGATCCAAACCCAATGTTTTTATTGATTTTCGTACTATAAAAGAACTTGCTCGTTTGAGAACAAGAATTTTGTTTCAGACACCTAAAACAGAAAATGCATTTGCCTGGTACAATATTTTAATATAATAATCTAAATAGAATGCAAATTAGAAAGCAACTTGTAGGAGTGCTGACAATACTGACTCCATCTTTGCCTCTCCATCTTGTTCGCTGACCTGTCTTAGGTCTATGTGTTATGGGCCCCTTAGAGATTAATATTCGTATCTTAGAAATGCCAGCCAAGGCCAGAATGTGGAGAGGTTTGCTTTGGCCTCCCACGAATCTATTAGAGATAACACAGTCTCTCTCCCCTTCCTGACGCACATATGGTGCCACAAGGTCTGTTAAACGTTGGCTGTCAATTAGGTGCATGCAAACCCTGTGAAATGCATGTGAACCCTCTGACCTCACTACAGTGCCCCCTGGAGTCCCCTCACTCTATAAAATCTGTGGACCAAGGTCCAGACTTTGCAAAGAATAGCTGTGTCTCGTCTGGATCGTCCATCACCTGCCTGATACCCCGCAGTAAGTTACCCTGAATACAATTTGGTGTAAACTGTACGGAGTGGCCTGCTCTGTTTTCCGGTCTCAAAGTGCCTTCTCAGTTTGGGGGAAACTTTACTATCCTTCTCCCACCTTCTAACACAGGCAAACAGCCCTGATTCGGTTGTAAGGATGCCTGGCACAGAGAGACCTTGCAACTCCTTCCCCTCTAAGATACTCAGACTATGGCTGAAGGTTTGAGAATTCACACGCTTCAAAACCAATTCATGAGGGTCTCCTGTAAGGACTAGGCAAGAAGGAAACTAACAAGCAGATCCCCAAGACGATCCCTCCTTTCACCTTGACTCGTCCCCCACACTCCATTCAGGAAATGCCCAGAATCTACTCTCACCCATGCAAACACTAGCCCAAGAAAAGCAGGCCTATTCCTTCATTGCTCTTTTATGACCTTAACGCTCCTATCAATTTATGCCTTTTGATTCACAAGTTCAGCTTCTAGAAGGTTTCCTTTCCCCCACCACTTCCTCCTCTGGGGACCCAGACCATTCCCCCACCAAGGCCTCTTAGTGACTGTCACCCTAGTGAAGCCAGCTTTTCCCAAGGGTTTGTTTTGCAAGATAAACTGTCGTGAGAGATACATTCACATTTTTGTTCTTTCTTCCTGTGGGTGCCAAGGGCAGGCCACCCCAAAATGTGCCACTTTGGCTTATTATTTTGAATTAAAGTTACTTAAGAAACAGCCAGTGCAAGAACACTTGGAAGCCCCTTTGCCTCCAGAAGGCAGGAAATAAATCTCCCATGTGAAAGGTACTCTTCCTGCACCAGGAGGTAAAGAGACAAACCTTATCACCAGAGATAGGAAATTCAGAGCCGAGAAGTTTGTATAGGTAACCCTTGTTCCTTTTACTAATTTACTACTCCAGTCCAAATTCTGTTTAGAATTCCTTACGAACTGAAGATCCTGAATAATACGTTTTCTTTGTCTTGCCAATTCCCCACAGAGTTATTGTTTCTTTGTAATGGTAGAAATGCTAACCACTTTGGTCATTTCTTTGGATGACAGTTGTATTATTGAGCCTCCACATGCATGTAATTAAACTTCTGGGATTTTTTTTCTGTTGTTGATCTGTTTCATGTCAATTTAATTCTTAGACCAGTTAGAACTTTGAAGAGTAAAAGAAAAATTTTCCTCTCCAATACTCCCACCTCCTTCCTCCACTTTAACAAAATACAGATGGAAATATCTTGGTAGTTGCTCATACGTTCCCTCAAAACAGGAGGAGGATTAAGTGTTCTGATCAAGAGTGCCTTCATTTTCAGGTTCTTCTCATATGGGGAAAGTGAAATAAATAGAAACGGTGATCTTAACCCACCATGTTTCAGTAAGCAGAGCCACACTCCCATTATGAAGCTGTCACTCCTATACTGATAATGAGCAACAAAAATACTTGTAGATTCCATAGTGAAAATGTGCTCGGTTCTAGTTCTTATCTGTAGGACTAGTCCTAGTTTTGACTTATTTTGTGTTTGTACCATCCTATGTCTCCAGCCTCAGGAGGGTCCCTCTTTCAACTCATGAAACAGAGAAAGCACGTTCCTGTCTTAGCTCCTCAGTTCCTGCTCCTCCTCGTCAGAAATCAATTTCCCCTCATTCAGCTCAGGGCTGGCTCCTATTATTGGCTTGTCACCTCTTCAGCAAAAGTGTCACCTCCTCACCTTTCTGACTACCCTCTTATTATATGATCTCCCCTTTTTAAAAACAAATTCTAACGTTCTGTTTTCTTCAAAACATTTGTTACACAGGTGTAATAATTCTATGCATATATGCTTAATTATCTGCCTCTCCCAGTGTTGTATAAGCCCCAAGAAGAACTGAAGTGGCTTTTAATCACTGCCTGTTCACTGAACATATAAGATGAAGAGCATTGCTGGGAAGGTTCCAGTCTTCTTTCCATCTTTATTCCTATTACTTTACTGATCACATTATATTTTCTTCAAGGATCTTTCAGGCTTCTCTCTTGCCTTGCCCATGACCAGCAGCCCAGTTCAGGGCCCTAAACCCTGGACTTCATACCATGCCTCTTGGCTTAATACCCTTTACCATGTTTTGTCATTCACCAGTTTTCCTAAATTACCACTCATCATGTTGTTCCTGTGTTAAAGTCTGTATGTCAAGTCCTAATTTGTGTCCAGTGCCAAGGTTTTCCTATTAGGAACCCACCTCAGCCACCTAAATTTCCTTTCTCCTCATTCTTCCCAAACTCTGGTTTTGCCATTCTATTCTCCTTGGTCATTTCAAGCAATATATGCTATAAATGTGTAAAACACCCATGGGCTTTGAAGACTTAGTACAAAATACAGAATGTAAACTATCTCAATATTTTTTACATCAATTACAGGTTAAAGTGATAACATTTTGGGGGTGCCTGGGTGGCTCAGTCGTTAGGCGTCTGCCTTCAGCTCAGGTCATGATCCCAGGGTCCCAGGATCGAGCCCACATCGGGCTCCCTGTTTGGCGGGAAGCCTGCTTCTCCCTCTCCCACTCCCCCTGCTGGTGTTCCCTCTCTCTCTTTGTCAAATAAATAAATAAAATCTTTTTAAAAAGTGATTAGTATTTTGGATATACTGGGTAAAACATATTAGTAAAATTAATTTCATCTGTATACTATATTTCATCTATATATTTCCTATACAGAATTTCATAAATGAACAAATTTGTTTGTTTTTCCTTCAGTTTTACTGAGATGTAATTGACATGCTATTTGTTCTTTTTTAAATGCGGTTGTTGGAAAACACAGAATTGCCTATGTGGCTCATATTGGTGGCTCACGTTATTTATCCACTGGACACTGTTGTTCTACACCCTCATTGGCTTTTTCTCCCGCACCTTGCCCCGTTACCGTCCTTTTTCTCGAGATGTGCAGATTTCCTCATGGAACTGAAGACCACCCTAGCAGGCCTGGGGCTCAGTCCGGGGACATGATACATAGGAACAGCCCCCTCCCTCTCTCACTCGCTCTCTGTCAAATAAATAAATTTTTAAAAAATCTTAAAAAAGATTATTTAATAAATAAATTTTTTTTAAAAAAGATTACTTATTTGTTTATTTATTTGACAGAGAGAGACACAGCAAGAGAGGGAACACAAGCAGGGGGAGTGGGAGGGGAGAAGCAGGCCTCCCACTGAGCAGGGAGCCTGATGTGGGGCTCGATCCCAGGACCCTGGGACCACGACCCAAGCGGAAGGCAGACGCTTAACGACTGAGCCACCCAGGTGCCCCAACACAACAAGCTTCTTAATACTATTGTTGTTCAGCCTTTGTGTTCATCAAAGTTAACAGGAGAAATAATAGAACAATTTACTAATACAGTTATGATACAGACCAGTCCTGTCAAACAGAACTTTCTCTGATGATGGAAATTTTCAATATGGTAAGTGCTAGCAACTTGTGCCCATAAAATTATAATAAATTGACATTTATGTGAAAATACATACATGGGTACAGTGGCTAGATTTTATACAGTGCCATTCTATTCCACATTGTCCTAAAAAAAAAAAAATGTTTCTTTTCCATCTAAAAGTAGGGAGATTGTTAAGATTATCATTGGAATAACAACAAATCTGTACCATTCTCACTCCAGTTGATACTCTTTATATTTCATTAAATTAAAAATTAACATTATTAAATTTATTTTTTCTGCTCTAAGATCTGCCTAGTATTTTTTTTCATGTGACAATTAGGCTAAACTTCACTAGATGATACACTAAGCGAAACTGATTTTATTTGCACCTTGGGTAATAGATGCCGGACTGTCAACATTTACCATCTGCTACTTGAGATAAGTGCAAACAGCAATGTGAGTGGACAGCCAATGATTCCCTGGGAGGGGGCGGGGACCGGAAGGAAGGTGAAGCACAAAGCACAGACAGGCTCTAGGGAAATGCTGCTTTCTGAATCTGCCATATCCTCCTACTTCCTTTACTCCTCATTCTGCTTAACCCAACCTTAACAATGGCCAGACAAACATCTGAGGGAGGCACTGGGTCAATGATGATGATAAAGATGGTGATGATGATAATCACAGTACCAGAAGTACCTGCCAACACAGTCCTCACCAAGTACTAGCTAAGGACTTTCCATATTGTCTTTTCTAACCCTCAATGATCTTGGGTTGTTCTGGGTCACAAGTGTACAACAGGTCTTCTGCAGGGGTATTAAGTTGCCAGACACGATGCATATTGTCTTTACAACTGATCAGCAGGAGGTCTGGGATTTAGGAACAGGAAATGCTCAGTAGCTCAGGACAGCAGAGACCATAAAATTCCCCCCAATGAAAACAGGGAGGGGTGGTGCAACATGCCAAAAGCCAAATCAAACCACAACTGTCACGTTTTCCTTAGTAACTTATAAACAAGAACATTTCGCCTGATGTGCGAAGTTAATCAAGGGAAGCTCCCACATCCCCCAGTCACCACTTTTTGGGTTTGTCAATACTGAGAGAAGCAAACTATCTTGAAGACATTAGCATATTGAAATTTACACCTTTAAATTTCATCTTTCTGTAAGTAAAAACAAAAAAAAAATCAAGGAAAACTCCCACACTCACACAAAACTTTAGTAACTAGATGAATACAACTATTTTTATTTCTAATTTAAGCTTCAGACCCCAAAATGCAAATGTTGAGAATAAGCCATCAGAGTAGTATGTGGGTCTGCTGGTAAGAAGTCACACCCTGCAACCAAAAACTTCTGACTCCAGCCAGTTTATTCTGAGAACACAGTCAACGTTGGAAGAAACAAAATAAACTTAGAATAAAAATATATTTTTGAAGCACTTTCAGGACAATGAATTTAGCTAGATTAGCATTACTAATGAATTCCTTTTCTTATGCACAATATAGGGTCAAAGAGAGGAAACCAAAGGAGAAAAAATTAAGAAACCTGGAATTCTGAAGCAAGCCAACATTTGAAACTCTGTGTTAATTCGTGGAGAAAAGTGGGAAATACGTAAAATATTTCTAGCCATTTCATTAAACTCCTCTCTCCACTAACACACACATTATCCTCCTCCCATGATTTCGTTGGTTCTTCACTAGGGTTATTTTGTTCATCAGGGGATATTTAGAAAGTCATTCAACACCTACAGTGCACACTGCACCCACAACAACACAGAATGACCCATCCCTCGTGTCAATAGTACCTCGGTGCACAATCCCTGCACCATAGGGACGGGGCAGGGAACTGGTATTTCAGGAGGGGAATGAGATACGAGAGCGTTCAGGAAAGGCCATCTGCTGCCTCGCTTGATATGCTGCGTCTACGGCAGAGCACACACTGGTAAGCTGGTCAACTAGAATGAACGCTGCCATTTGTGACTTGAGAAAGAATATTCCAGAGCGTGAAGCTACTGACCTGCTGACAAACATTAACATGCAACTTCCAGAACGTTAAGACTCACAGAAATAATTCGCAGTCTGTGGATCAATGTCAGTAAGAAGACTGTTGCTAACAAGAACGATACAGAACAGGTTCCAGAGTATTTGAAACTGGGACACCTCTCTGATCCTATTTCTGCGTGACATCATTTTATTTATTTATTTATTTATTTATTTATTTATTTATTTATTTATTTATTAAGATTGTGTTTTTATTTATTTGACAGAGAGAGACACAGCGAGAGAGGGAACACAAGCAGGGGGAGTGGGAGAGGGAGAAGCAGGCTTCCCTCTGAGCAGGGAGCCCGATGCGGGGCTCGATCCCAGGACCCTGGGATCATGACCCGAGCCGAAGGCAGACGCTTAACGACTGAGCCACCCAGGCGCCACCGACATGACATCATCTTAACATGTTAAAATTAGTCAAGGAAAGAACTTTCCAAACCTATTATGGAAATCATTTTGCAATATATACGTGTATCAAATCAGCACATGGCACACCTTCGACCTACACAATGTTAGGTGGCAATTCTATGTCAATAAACCTGGGGGAAAAGAATTTTCCACATTTATTTTAGAAGACAAAGAAACAAGCAGTTATTCTCACATTCTCAAGGCACAGAATCCCACTCTGGAATGCCAGTGACACCTATGGATAAACACAGGACACACGTCATTGTCATGCAACACCAAGCCTCTCACTCTCTCTTTTTTTCAAAAGTTTCATTTATTTATTTTAGAGAGAGAGAGCATGGGCCAGCGGGGGAGGTGGGGGGCAGAGGGCAGAGGGAGAGGGAGAGAGAATCTCAAACAGACTTCAAGCTAGTGTGGAGCTCGATGCGGGGCTCGATCTCATGACTCTGAGACCGTAAGCCTGAGACCACAACCTGAGCCGAAACCAAGAGTCGGCCGCTTAAGCGACTGCGCCCCCCAGGCACCCCCACCTCTCGCTCTCTTTAAGGCAGCAGCGTACTCACAGGCTCGGTTCCGGCTTCTGTACGTGCAGGTGTAGAGGCTGCAGGGCCTCGCTGGCACGAACCTGGGGGTCTGCAATCTTCTCCACAGTGACTTGCATGGAGAGGCTTGAAGAATGACCCTCAGGCTACTCGTCGCCACCATGTTTAGCTTGAAATCTTGACCGGGTCCCAAATAACTTGCAGGAACCTAATAACCCAGAGGCAGGAGGACAGAGGAGGCAAAGCTATAAACAACGGAGACTGACCATCAAGTGGAAACCTCTAAGCAGGACACCACCACTCAGACTATGAGTACACATGGCAGGGGTGGGGGTGGGGGGGGGAGGGGAGGGGGGGTTGAGTCGGTGGTTAATCCGCTCCTCTTCCGGAAACTCACTGGTTACCCCAGGAGGACAGACTCTTCTGCTGCGCCGTCCACTTCCCACTGCTGCCTGCCACTAGCCCCGTGGACTTGGGTTCTTCCCGCTCCCGAAGCTCCCTCCCGCCTCAGGGCTTGTGCAGATGCTCCTCCTCCACCCGTGCCTGGTGAACTCCTCCCCTCCCCTCAGGCGTTCCTCTCCTGCACCACCTCCTAGAAGCCTCCCCTGACCACGCGCTCACCGCTCGCTCACCGGGTGAGCCTGGCGCCCTCTTCGGCGCCCTCTTCGGCTCCCTCACGGTGCTGCCTGCAGTTGCACACCTCATCGAGAATGGACTTTATGACGCCACCTCCCCAGCCACGAGCCCCGCGGCGGTAAGGACCCTGTCTGTCTCTGGCACAGCTGCATCTCTCAGGGACGCAGTGCCTGGCCCGTGAGGGCAGCTCGGTGACCTGGGCACACTTCCGTGGTGAGGGGGATGTTGATCCCGATTCCAAGAACCGCACACTGTGAAGTGATTGCCAGCAGGTTCTTGCACGGTAGGAAGGGCTTTTCCTAGATGCCGCCATCAGCCCGTTGTGTGGTTATCTATACTTCTGAAACACTTTTAAATGCTTGCCATTTAAGAGGAGGGCCTCGTATCCCTACCGATAAGATCTGAAGGAGGACCGTATCCAGAGACAAATCTTAGCTAGTCTCACAGGGATGGGAATTCTGCCAGTAAACGTTTGCATTTCAACATTTATTGTCATTTCCTTTGTTCCAGGAACCACGTCGGCTGCTGGGATGCAAAGCGGAACAAGGCATGAACTCTACCTTCCAGGTGTGCAATTAATTCCTCCCCCTTGGAGCCTCTGGAAATGCACATCATATGGCAAGGAAAACCATCCACGACTCCTCAGATTCTGCCTTTGGCCTATCAGAGGGCACTCAAAAGTCTGGCAATGGCGGCGCGGAGGAGAGGGGCCCAAAGTCACAAAAGAGAAACTGAGGGGGCACTGAAGAACATTGTCACAGATTGGAACTTTGACTCTTTATTAAAATAAAGAGTCAAAGATGCAAAAAAGCACATTATGATCCCCAGCAATGCTGACCAAGAAGGCACATGTTCATTTCACCCTCTCCTCTTCATGTACCTCACTATTAACCAGCTGTGAACGAGCTCTTCCCCCCTGTATTGCTGCCTCAAACTTGCCAGATCTGAGCTACAGGAAAAGAAGCCTTCCCCCAAGGGAGAGGAGAGGAAAAAACTGCACCTGAGCTGTGTCCACTGAAATCAGGAAGCAGAGTTACTTCCTATTTTTTTTTTTTTTGCGAGAGAGAGAATGAGAGACAGAGAGCATGAGAGGGAGGAGGGTCAGAGGGAGAAGCAGACTCCCTGCCGAGCAGGGAGCCCGATGCGGGACTCGATCCTGGGACTCCAGGATCATGACCTGAGCCGAAGGCAGTCGCTTAACCAACTGAGCCACCCAGGCGCCCTAAGCCACCCAGGCTGTGGTTCTTTGTTACAAACTAATACATTGGCCCTAAGACCCCACATAGGGATTTAGGCCTGGAGGCGAGGCACCTCTATGGGATTCATAAACTTCCTACTAGTCCCCTTTAAAGTGGTGGCTGTGTGTTATGGACTGAATGTTTCTGCTCTCCCTACCCCCATCCATATGTTGAAGCCCTAATACCCAATGGAATGGTATTAGGAGATGAAACCTTGTGAAGTAGTTAGGGTTTGATTAGGTCATGAGGGTTGTCCTCCATGATAGGATTAGTGTCCTTAGAAGAAAAAGGAGAGTCCAGAGCTTGCTGTCTGTTCCTCACATGAAGGCATAGTGAGAAGGTAGCTTTGTACAAGCTATGATGTGGATGACCAGGAACCAATTGGCTAGAAAATTGGTCTTGGATTTCCAGCCCTTAAAACTGTGGGAAATAAGTGTCTGTTGTTTAAGCCATTCAGTCTGTGGTATTTTGGTCTAGCAGCCCAAGCTGGCTAACACGCTATGCATTTTCACTCCCTGCCCTGAGTGTGTTCATTGGCAAAGTGATGCATACAACAGAGTGCGTGGCAGCAGGTTGCAAGGCTAGCTGTTTATCACCCTTCACTTTGCAATACTTGTCCAGACACATGGCTTGTTGCTGGTTATAAAGGGATCCACCTGGAGTCCTCATAAGAAAGGAATTAAGGATGGCTAGAAGACATATGGTCCTCTCAATTGATGCAGAAAAAGCATATGACAAAATACAACATCCTTTCCTGATTAAAACTCTTCAGAGTATAGGGATAGAGGGAACATTCCTCAAGTTCATAAAATCCATCTATGAAAAACCCACAGCGAATATCATCCTCAGTGCGGAAAAGCTGAGAGCCTTTCCCTTAAGATCAGGAACACGTCAAGGAGGCCCACTCTTGCCACTATTGTTCAACATAGCACTAGAAGTCCTAGCAACAGCAATCAGAGAACAAAAAGAAATAAAAGGTATTCAAACTGGCAAAGAAGAAGTCAAACTCTCTCTTCACAGATGACATGATACTTTATGTGGAAAACCCAAAAGACTCCACCCCCAAATTACTAGAACTCATACAGCAATTCAGTCATGTGGCAGGATACAAAATCAATGCACAGAAATCAGTTGCTTTCTTAGACACTAACAACGCAGCTGTAGAAAGAGAAATTAGAGAAACGATTCCATTTACAATAGCACCAAAAACCGTAAGATACCTCGGAATAAACCTAAATAAAGCGGTAAAGGATCTATACTCTAGGAACTACAAAACACTCATGAAAGAAATTGAAAAAGACACAAAAAGATGGAAAAATATTCCATGCTCATGGATCGGAAGAATAAACATTGTTAAAATGTCTATGCTACCCAGAGCAATCTATACCTTCAATGCCATCCCGATCAAAATTCCAATGACATTTTTCAAAGTGCTGGAACAAACAATCCTAAAATTTGTATGGAATCAGAAAAGACCCCGAATCGCCAAGGAGATGTTGAAAAAGAAAAACAAAGCTGGGGGCATCACGTTGCCCGATTTCAAGCTATATTACAAAGCAGTGATCACCAAGACAGCATGGTACTGGCACAAAAACAGACATACAGACCAATGGAACAGAATAGAGAACCCAGATATGGACCCTCAACTCTATGGTCAAATAATCTTTGACAAAGCAGAAAAAAACATGCAATGGAAAAAAGTCTCTTCAATAAATGGTGCTGGGAAAATTGGACAGCCACATGCAGAAGAATGAAACTCGACCATTCTCTAACACCATTCACAAAGATAAACTCAAAGTGGATGAAAGACCTCAATGTGAGACAGGAATCCATCCAAATCCTAGAGGAGAACATAGGCAGTAACCTCTTTGACATCGCCCACAGCAACTTCTTTCAAGATACATCTCCAAAAGCTAGTGAAACAAAAGCAAAAATGAACTTTTGGGACTTCATCAAGATAAAAAGCTTCTGCACAGCAAAGGAAACAGTCAACAAAACAAAGAGGCAACCCACAGAATGGGAGAAGATATTTGCAAATGACACTACAGATAAAGGGCTGGTATCCAAGATCTATAAAGAACTTCTCAAACTCAACACCCAAAAAACAAATAATCAAGTCAAAAAGTGGGCAGAAGAGATGAACAGACACTTCTCTGAAGAAGACATACAAATGGCTAACAGACACATGAAAAAATGTTCATCATCATTAGTCATCAGGGAAATCCAAATCAAAACCACACTGAGATACCACCTTACACCAGTTAGAATGGCCAAAATGGACAGGGAAAGAAACAACAAATGTTGGAGAGGTTGTGGAGAGAGGGGAACCCTCTTACACTGTTGGTGGGAATGCAAGGTGGTACAGCCACTTTGGAAAACAGTGTGGAGGTGCCTCAAAAATTTAAAAATAGAGCTACCCTATGACCCAGCAATTGCACTCCTGGGTATTTACCCCGAAGACACAGATGTAGTGAAAAGAAGGGCCCTATGCACCCCAATGTTCATAGCAGCAATGTCCGCAATAGCCAAACTGTGGAAAGAGCCGAGATGCCCTTCAACAGATGAATGGATAAAGAAGACGTGGTCCATATATACAATGGAATATTACTCAGCCATCAGAAAAGATGAATACCCAACTTTTACATCAACATGGATGGGACTGGAGGAGATGATGCTAAGTGAAATAAGTCAAGCAGAGAAAGTCAATTATCATATGGTTTCACTTATTTGTGGAACATAAGGAATAACATGGAGGACATTAGGAGAAGGAAGGGAAAAATGGGGGGGGGGGAATTGGAGGGAGAGATGAACCATGAGAGACTATGGACCTGAGAAACAACCAGGGTTTTAGAGGGGAGGGGGGAGGGGGGATTGGTTAGCCCGGTGATGGGTATTAAGGAGGGCACGTACTGCATGGAGCACTGGGTGTTATACGAAAACAATGGATCGTGGATCACTACATCAAAAACTAATGATGTATTGTATGGTGACTAACATAATAAAATTTAAAAAAAAATTAAAAAAAAGAACGCAACAAGTGAAAGAATACCAAAAAAAAAAAAAAAAAAAAGGATGGCTAGAAGATTCTTGGCCTAATCTGGAAGGACGGAGTTGTCATGAACTGAGATAAGGACCACAGTGTGCAGAACAGGTTTTGGGTAGGACATCAGTAGCTCAGATTTGGGCACATGAGTTTGAAATGAAATTCCAGTAATCCAAATGAGACAATATGAAGCACTGAACCAGAGAGTGACAGTAGCGATGGACCGAAGTTCTTTGTATTCAAGAGATTGCCATTTTGGTAAAAAAACGTAGGATTTGGCACTCAACTGGAAGAGAGAGAAGGGAAGTAGTTGTTGAAGAAGGCCCCGTGATTTTATGGCTGGATGATGCTGGTGGTAGAATGAGGATGAATGCCTGAAGAGAGAAACAAGCTGGCAAAAGGAGCAGGTGGGAAGGGAAAGAGGACAGACAGTCTTCCTGCTAATCCTATGGATTTGAGGTCCAAGGGGACAGTGAGAGGAAAAGTCTAGCAGATAGTTGCCAGGGCAGCTATGGTGGTCAGCAGAGGCCATGAGGCTAAAGAGAATATTTTTGTTCCCAAAATAATTCAAGGATAGTGCAGCTCTTTACCAAGACCCAGAAGGGAGGGTGGGTGTGGTGAACTTTGGTTCACTGTAAACTCCAAAGCAGGCTGAGAACAGTGACAGTTCTCAGGGATGTGCAGGAGCAGGTTATGGGTAGAGTGTGGGGCAGTTTCTCTCACCAGAGATATCAGACTTCTCTCCGTATTCCAGAAGACTTTTCAATACAGTGGAGATGGCCAGATTTGCAGTAAAGGACGAAGGGAAAGCAGAAAATAATGTGACTTTCAGGGGGCTGACAGGAAATTAATTCCACCCAAATTAAGGTGTACACATCTTCGTTATTGTCCCATAGTTTTCAAGCTTTATCAGCAAAAATAAATGAGAAGAAATTACACTGATAATAACGAGTTTTCGGCTGCCTCCAAACAGTAGCTTTTAACCCATGCCACAAAGAATTAGGGCTACCAACAACGTTCATATTCTGTGGGTTCTTTCCCTCCAGATCTGGAGCAGAGCACAAATGAAAAAGGAGACAACTGAATAGAGAAAACTCAGATACGTCCACAGGGCAGAGCTATGCTGCTGATCCCCTGCCCTGGGGGTGGTTGTGAATCTGTCCATAGCTTTTGGCATGGTCAGGTGGGGAAGAGCAACAATGAAGATGTGAGTGAGTCCCAGCCTGCTGCGCCTCGGTTTCTGCAACTGCAATTCCCCCACCTCCCAAAGTCTCTGAGACAACTATTCTACCGTTGAATGGACAAAACCCTAAGGGGATGTAGCTGTCTGATGACCCTCACAGTGGAATAAAAGGGTTAGAGTAGGGAAAAAGCGATTCCCTGCCTCTTCCGCTTCGCTCTACAGAGAAGCCCGGCCGGCACGGCGGCCATCCTCGCGGAATCGTCCCAGCTCCCGGGCCCATCTCACAACGTGGTCATGAGCGGAACGGTACCTGTCCTCTCTGAAAGGGCTTCGCGTACCCTCCTATTCCTCGTGCTCCAATCACCGCCCGACCTTATCCGTGTGTTTCCCTGAGCGCGGACCCCTCCGCTCTGTAACCGGGAGAGACTCATGCACGCGGCCATCTTGGCTACGTCCCGTTACGCCTCGCCACGCCCCTCACGCCGGGTACGTCATCTCGCTTAATCACATCACGTCCCCATAGCCTCAACCCAGGTCTCCGACAAAGCAGTGTCCCACCTTGGGCTCGCTCACCGCGTCGGAGCCCGAATCTCTCTCCGTCCACCCAGAGCCTGGGTCTGCACCCGGTCTCTGCCCTGGCTACAGCTCTGCTGCCGTCGCTCGGAGCCTGCAGCCGCGCCCATGCGCCTGCGCACTAACTTGGTCCCGCCTCTGCCTTCCGCCTGGGTCACCCCTCCTTCGAGCCGGACCATCTTCGCCACGCCCTCACGTATATGTCACGCCCTCGCGCTCCGCCTACACCACGGCCCTTCTTCCTCTTACGTAATTTGTGTCCCGTATGCTACTCTGGGGCCCCGCCTTTCCACAGGCCTTTTTCACGTCCCTGTTATCCCCTGGGTCACGCTCATTCCTCTGAGCCCACATCCCTCCCTTGTTTCTACCTCCCTCCTTTCCACTTTGGTAATTTCTCTGCCCTTTGCCTGCGCTCACCTCTTCCGTTGTCTCGACCAGCTTTGTCGTGCTTTTGTAGCGGCCACGCCACGCTCTTCACGCACTAAGTCCAACTTTCCCAGGTTACGCCCCTGAGCGATGCCTAGGCCACGCCCTTCCCGCCTAGAACGTCGCAGGCGCTCCTTCCCACGGTGTCCAGGCCCCGCCCCTCCCGCCGGGTCACGTTCCTCCTCTGCTTTCCACGGTCCTACGTCATGGCCAATCCCAGCGCCCCACGGCACGACCCTACGATCTACGTTGGCCACGCTAATGCCCGTTTGAGCATTTTCTGGCGTTCCGTCATGGCCACTCCCTGGGTTCTCAGGACTCCCACTTTTGGGTCCGCTCTCACCAGTGTACGCGTCCTGCTCTCCCTCTGCTGGTGGAACTCGGTCCTGGGAAGCCGCTCGGGAGCGGGCCGGGCCCTTTGTGTTTCCGGAGAAAACCGCCCACGCCTCAGAGCTAGACGTCAGTAGCATTTATAAAGTGAAAGGAGCCTTTGGATCCCTGATACTCGTCTAAAAATAGACTTTATCCATATTTCTTTCCAGCTCCAAACACCACAACTCCACGAGCAGAAACCGGATAGGAAACATAACTTGGCACTGACTGGAACTGTGTTCTTACGAGCCCTTCAGCCAACGTTAAATGCTAGGCAGATGCATGGAGTAATAAGCACATTCTTCTACCTCCTGATCTCTTCAGAAGACTTTTTCTAAGCACCTAGTTCCCTCCTGCTGTCTAGAGCCTGTCCGGACAACACAATACTTAGACCTCTGTAGACCCCCTGTTCTGGGATTAAAGTAAAGAGGTTTACTTCTTCCATTTATAATTCTGCGTCCACAAGAAAAAAATGAAGGGGTTACCACTTTTTTTTTCCTGTCCAGAAATCTCTGAACGGGCACTTCTGGGGGAAGGGCACTTACCATTAGCCTTTCAGTTATTCATTCATTTAAATTGTATTTATGGAGTACTAAGTTCCAGTGACAAGACAAACCTCAAGGACCTTACAGCCTGAAGTTTTCCAACCTGGGTTTGGCTGAGACAAGAATTGATGAGAAAATTAAGGTGTGGTAAGGGGGTTGGAATAGGTAGAAAAGGGCTTGGTAAGTGCTTGTCTCTTTTTTTAATTGAGGTATAATTGACATATAACATTGTATTTCAAGTATATAACATAATGATTTAGTATTTGTATTGCGAAATGATCACAGTAAGTATCCAACACCATACATAGCTATAATTTTTTTCCTGTGATGAGAACTTTTTAAGATTTACTCTTAGCAAATTTCAAATACACAATACAGTATTATTAATTATAGTTACCATTATGCACATTACATCCCATGACTTATTTTGTAACTGGAAGTTTGTACCTTTTGACCATCTTCACCGATTTTGCCCTTCCCCCATTCCCTGCCTTAGGCAACCAACAATCTGTTACCTGTATGAGTTCAGTTTTTTGTTTTTGTTTTTTAGATTTCATATGTAAGTGAGATCTTATGTTATTTGTCTTTATTTGTCTGACTTATTTCACTTAGCATAATGCCCTCCAGGTCCATCCACTTGTTTAGTTTTTTGTTGTTTTTGTTTTTGAGAAGCAGGTTTTCTTGATTTTTAGTCGCAAGGGAAATCCTGATTCCTCATCTTGATGACACTGGGAATTAAGTAGGAGACAAGTGCCAAAAGGACTTTTATAGATCCCCTCAATGTATTCTGTTGCCAACGATCACAAAGTATTGAATCAATCCTATGAACCACCCAAACTTTTCTGTTCGCTTGAGATCACAGGCCGTCGGTGGTATGGCTTTATTCAGGGCAACATTTAGATCATTATTCCCCATGATGGCAAATAAGTTTCAACTTGTCAATTGACTGAATAACTGTTGGGAAGCTTTGTGGTTGAGTCCACACTGAAAAGGAAAAAGTTCTGTCGTAGATTAACAATGTTTGTTGTGGGTGCAGGATGGATGAGTGGCTGCAAAAACCTATCTAGCATCTCTGATTTGTAGTGATAGAGGTATTGCATACATGTCTTTAAGGCAGTCCTCACAAACAGCAGTTCTTACTATAAGCTGTTGAGGATTTTCAGACAGTAGAAGGGTCAGAATCATTGTTGCTGGTCAGAATTTAAGGGCAGAAACTTTGATATGTTGATTAATTCATATGATTTGTATATCCATTAGAATGAGGGTAGTTTAAGATTCTGTTATGAAAATGAGAGCAACTAACCTGAAAGGTACAGGACCCAATGGCCCCTCCACCTTTTTATATAGGTTGGCAAAAGAAGTAGCTATAGTCAGGGCTAAATGTGACTGGGTGACACTAACTGTTCGCCAAATAGAAGGTTGAAAATACTGCTCCATAGAGTATGGCCGTAATAATTTTGGAAAAAATTACAACTTGCCTAAACCATGAGAAAACTCTTAATACAACACCCAAACAACATTGGAAAGAGTTAGATCTAAGATGAAATATCAGTAAGATCTTGCTTTTACTACCTGAGACTCATTTTAATGTGTTGGTCTTTTTTTTTTTTTTTTAAGGTTTTATTTATTTGACACAGAGAGACATAGCGAGGCAAACACAAGCCGGGGGAGCGGGAGGGGGAGAAGCAGGCTTCCTGCGGAGCAGGGAGCCTGATGCGGGGCTCAATCCCAGGACGCTGGGATCATGACCTGAGCCGAAGGTGCCCCTAATGTGTTGGTACTGAGCCACCCAGGCGCCCCTAATGTGTTGGTCTTCATGCACGAGATGAGACACACAAGCACACATGCATTCCATTTAAGAAACTGTCCTTTAAATTCTTTTTTTTTGCACTAGAATTTTTTTTATTAATTAATTTTTTTAATTAACTTATAATGTATTATTTGTTTCAGGGATACAGGTCTGTGATTCATCAGTCTTATACAATTCACAGCGCTCACCATAGCACATACTCTCTGTCCTTTAAGTTCTTATTTTTTTTTTTTTATTTATTAGAGAGAGAGAGAGAGAGCATGAGAAGGGGGAGGGTCAGAGGGAGAAGCAGACTCCCAGCAGAGCAGGGAGCCTGATATGGGACTCGATCCTGGGACTCCAGGATCATGACCTGAGCCAAAGGCAGTCGCTTAACTGACTGAGCCACCCAGGCGCCCTGTCCTTTAAGTTCTTAATTTAAGAATATAAAGTTGGCAGAATTACACTCACTCAGCTTGTCTAAATTAATCTTTATTTCTATGCAGTAGTGATTAACTTTCTCTGAACTAGAAAAATGTTACCCTGTGAATAAAAAGACTAAGTTTGTAATGGTTATGGCTGTTGATTAACCTACAAAATTTGATGAGCCTTCCGAATACTGTAGCTTCAGATTACTTTTCATCTTAAAAGCGCCAGAGGTATGGAAGTGGAGACAAAAATATTCCAAAGCCCAGTGTTCCTTCTTTAGCAGATACTAGAAGTTGCTTTTCTCTGACTAGGAATGCAAAAAAAAATTGCATTGTATCTCATGATTTTTTATATCTGCATTCTTGAGCTTCTTCAAATTGCAGTTTATGATTCAAATAAGTAAATTCAGTTCTCTTATCAAATACTCATGGGCCATGAGAACTGCAAAATTAAACCAAATATAGCCCTTGCTCTCCAGAAACTTAAAATTTGTAGGACACAAAAGTAAATCACGTTGGCAACAGATGCATGTACAAATGTGAACAAAATGCTATGGGAGCCCAGGAGAAGGAGAGAATAAAAAGTTAGTGGATTGGACAAGTGTAAAACAAGTAATAATAAATAAAAACCTATAACAAAAACAAAATGAAAGATTTCTCTCTTTCTCTTTCTTAAAGATTTTATTTATTTGTCAGAGAGCACAAGCAGGGGGAGCAGCAGGCTCCCTGCTGAGCAAGGAGCCCGATGCAGGACTTGATCCCAGTCCCAGGGCCCTGGGATCACGACCTGAGCAGAAGGCAGATGCTTAACCGACTGAGGCACCCAGGCATCCCAAAACAAAGGTTTCTCAAAGGAGATGATAATTGAGATAGACCTGGAACAATGGCTAAGACGTTTAAAGGTAAAAAATGAAAATTCACTGTATTGAACTTAAGAAAGCAGTGTGAAAAGAAACACATACAAAGGACAGAGGTGGAATGAGGCCCACTTGCGGGGACTAGCAGGTCAGAGGGGGATGGGGGGGACATCGGTGTAGAAGCATCTGAAAAACCAAGTTGGATTCAGATCTTAGAGGCCAAAGGGTTTGGATTCCCTGACATAGGCCCTGGGGTGCTGAGAAGATTTCAAGTGGGAATGGCTTCAACGTTAATGATAAGGAGAACAAAGGCAATGGAAGGCTGAAACATCATGCAGTGACAGTGAGTTTTAAATGTTCCTGTACTGGAACGCCTGGGTGGCTCAGTTGATTGAGAGGCTGCCTTCGGCTCAGGTCATGATCCCAGAGTTCTGGGATCAAGCCCCAAGTCTGGTTCCCTGCTTGGTGGAGAGCCTGCTTCTCCCTCTCTCTCTGCCCTGTTTGTGCTCTCTCTCTGTCAAATAGATAAATAAAACCTTTAAAAAAAATAAATGTGCCTATACGTACTAACCATGGGCTGTTGGATTGGCAGCCCATATGCACCCAGTGCTCCAGCAACGAGGCAATTATTCTTTCTCATTAGCCATCTTAATGAAAAGATAAATGAGTTTAATGATAGTTTCAGAATATGGAACAAAAGATGTTAACATCTTATGATTGATTTTA